AAGTTCGTGGCAAGACAGCGTATCTGTTAGCTAGACAAAGCTACGGAAATAGTTGTGTCTTTGGAAAACCGTTGAACTCCATATTATTTATGAACTTCCACTGGGGGCTTTTAAACTTTTGCTCTTTTAAAGCAGGGGAAGCTGTGGGCAGCCAGTCCTGCTGTGTGGATAGGTTAACAATCCCTCTCTTTGTGTGTGCGGCCCACAGGGGGGGCAAAGGGAGGCTTAAAGTCACTTGTCCTGTGTGATCTCTTGGTGGGCCATGGCAATAATTAGCCACCAATAGAAAGGTCCTGTTTCCTTGTCACAGTGGCACCACTTGTTCCAAATGTATAGCAGGCTCTCTTAAATTGAATCCTTAAATGAAGGATGTTTTTATTAGTGTCTTGGGCGGAAAAGAATTTGCTTCTCTCAAAGTGCATGGCTGGTCCTTAAAGTCATTCATAGTTCGATTTTGAGAAAGCTGCCCACCCTCAGCTGCTCTGTGTTCTTCTTGGTTTCTTGTGTCAATGTTTAGATGAGATGCCACTACATTGAGGTATTGTTTCTGTTTTACTAGCTCATTTTATCCATACATTTGAACTTAGAAGATCTGTACACAAAGATTTGATCTTTTCCTTATGTGCAACATGTGAAGTCATTCTCTATTTTTTCTTGTTAGCTCATCTAGGACTTACCATGGAGGTGCCGGCCAAAGTCCAATGAATTTCAATGCTATGCATAAGCTATTGTATAAAACCACTCGTGGCTTGTTCTGAATGATCTCAGTCTTGCTGACAACTCTGCTTCCCAGACTTCTTCCCTTTCATGTAGCCATATAGCCTGAAATCCACAAAGTATTTATTAAAGGATCAAGCCACATTCAGGATCTCAAATAGTTGCTGCAGAACGTTTGGAAGCTGCATGCCCGATGAACCAGAGACTCAGTGCAAATGCAGACCGTGATTTCATCTTCCAATTAGACTACAATTCTTTAATTTTTGCATTACATTTGAGGGATATGGTTTGCTGCAAGATAAAGATTAAGAACTCAGTGTTGTTGTACAGCAGGTCTGGTCTGTTGATTAAATTATTTCTAAGTATTTCTACATTATATTATAGTGATCTATTTCATACCATTAAACATCAGTAGCACACTCTGTGTGTAATGTTATATATTATTTTGTAAGGGTAAGAACTGGTTGATTAAAAAATGATTTATCATTCGGAAGGAGTTCTTGATAGAAATTAAAGTCAGTGCTTATTATATTCAATTTTGTCTGTTATTTAAACTTTTATTTAACCAGATGTGTCAGCTGAGATGACATTCTCATTAATGGTGATGGCCAGGCCAAAAGGGTTTTATCACTGCAGCACAATAAAATGGAAAAAAAACAAAACAATAAATATGAACAATCGGTTTATAATTTTTAAAAATGGCAGTTTGCAATTCAAGTTTTGAATTTATTTCCATGCTTTTGAAGTTTTTAATCTGATTGCCTGAATAAAGTGAACTAGACTGGAAGCAGACAGACATCCCTCAAAGTTAAGGGGGAACTACTGCAGATATATAGACCTTTGGAAAGGTTTAGCCAAAGGAGCAGAGTGAATGTATAAAACAGAGAAACTGGGGCATTAGAGAGGACAGACGACCTTAAAGCAAAGGGTCACTTAGTCATTTTTTTTTCTGGAGGGCTACTTGCCTCTGTGCCATTGGAAAGCTGGAGAAGCACATTGCTTGAATTATGGACCATTGATGTTTTTGGTTTGTCAGAACTCTCCGACTACCACCTTTGTTTATGTTGGCAACAGAAAAATAGGTATTACATTACCATCTGTGTTTTTATTCAGTGTAGACCTTCGGTTTTGGATTCTGAATGTTCTGACATGTCTGTGAGTTTAAGAATTGTTCTATAGCCTTAATGCTAAGATACGTACCACGATAAGGTGTTACTAGTTTCTGTTTAACCATGCATTTAAAGTATTTTATACGGTTCAGCTGAGGTCTAAAGACTTCCCAAACACACTGAAGTATGTAATGTTAATTAGGTACAGTGTTAGCACATTTGTTACATTATTTTTCGGAGAAAGTATTAGTGTTCATACTCTTTTCCTCTATGTATAGTCTTACATTTAAAATAAATAGCTTTGTACATCTGTCCATTATCAGAAAGCCTCTTAAGCAATGTAAGGTTTGTGACAACCTGGAGCCATTCTGAAAGGATAGTGCACAAGGTTACACTACACCCTGGATGAATAGCCAGTCACAAACAGGTATAATTTAGAGACACAAGTGAACCTAGCCTATCTTTGGATGGTACAGTAACCAGAACACCTGAAAAGCTGCCCTCCCCTCCAGCTGTAAATAATTTAATATATACTCAAATAAGTCTTCAATTAAAAAAAGAATCATTCCACTTTAAACAGTTAGTTGTATAACCTAACGTTCTAACATTATGTTCTTTCACTGTAATGAGCCATATCCTGAGAATATGTGGTTGGAAAAAATGATCATAATCACTTTTAAATATGCTCAGACATGACTTGGAATGACTTGAAAGTGGAGCCTCTAGCTCTGTAGAGAAAAGAAAAGTAAAAAAGATCATGCAAAATTCCAATTGTATCTTAAGTAACATCTATAAAATTGATTTTTTTATTTTTGTGTTTAGAAGATAACTGGATGGCTTGCCTCATTTCTAAACTACCACCCTTTTAATTCAGTACATCAAACAACATGATACCCTTAGACATGGAGGTTTGTATGATACTTCAAAGACCTGAAAGACAGTTTACCTTTGTTTCCACTGTCCTACTATCACTTTTCTGCATGCCCATACAGAATACAACTGCAAGGGCTGGGCTCTAAGTAGGTCTTAGTGTTGAAGGCTGGTACGTTGTTACAGGGTAAATTAAGGGCTTAGTGTTGAGGGCTGGTACACTGTTACAATGTAACTCCTTCAGCTGTTATCCTCTGTTTTACATTTCACTTGATCTTACATTGCATGTCTTTAATCTTTCCCATATTTACTCCCCAGTGGGCTGCTCATTCCAGATGAGCTGTTAATGTTCAAGGCAAGATAACAAACAGGACAAGGAAGAAAAAAAAAAGTAAAATCTTCTTAATCATCCTTTAACAGTATACTGAATAAGGTCCAGTGATGGGATTCCCCAGATTGTGGTTATGTGGGCCATATAAATTTTAAGTGTTTTGAACTGTCTCCTTCAATGGTATGATTAACCCAAAATTAATAAAATAAAACTGGTGTCCTTTCACATTACCAAATATATTTATGGTGTTTTCAGTATTATTACTGATTCGAATACAATACTGCTGTCTATGCTGAATTGCACTTCTATTTTATATTACTTGACACCTTCAAAACATATCTCTGTAAAACTCAGAGGAAAAAAAATAGTTTCATATATTTTATAGGGTGGTGTGGTGGCACAGTGCTTATCATTGCTGTCTTGCAGTGTTGGGGCCCTGGGTTCAATTCCTGGAGTGCTTATCGTTTTGGATTTTGTATGCTTTCCCTGTGTTTACTTGGGTTTGCTCTAGCTGATCTGGTTTCTGCTCACAGTTCAAAGCCATTCTGGTAGATTTAGTTTACTTTGGTAGAATTGGCCCAGTGTTTATGTCTGTGTGTGCCCTGCAAGGGACTGCTTTTTAACAAATACTAAGAATTAGTAAGAAAAATTAGTTTTAACATGTTTGTATGTTGGCTATGTTGGTTTGTTAACAAATATACTTAAAGCTGATCAGAGCAGATGTCGTAATGAGGTCAGTAATCCCAAATGAATTTCTAAAATGGATAGCTACATTAAAGCGAAGCTTTGAATGAAGCCTGGTTATTTTATTTTCACATATATGTTTTAATGATATCTCATAAGCAGCTGTTATCTTTTTTGGTTTAAATTTTACTATTCAATCATCAAATCTCAATACGGTATTTGGGTCACATATATTTAATTTTTCTTTCTCCATAGTGTCAAAAACCTAAGTTTTCAGCTTTTTTTGTTCTTTTTAAATTTGGTTGTATGCATAAGAGTGGCAAAAGTACTCAGTGGTTATATGATGTTAACATGAATACTGTACGTGGTCTGGTTATCTGAATTGGACCTCTTCTGGCTGCAGCTCTCTGTAGTTTAAAGGATACCAGCAGTTGCATCAGCAGCTTGATGACTGGATTCTATTAGTCAGGAGCCAGAATAGCTCGTCTATTTTTATAGGCAAGAGTTTTGAAACGTGTCCATCAGAGGCATTGCTGTCTTAGCTTAGGAACTTCTTATTGTTAATATTTAGGTGCCTGGATTCAGCTACTCTGCAGGGAAATTAGTATACTGCTATCCATGACAAAGAATAACTGTATTAATTTAGAATGGAAAATTTCTGAAATGCTATTCCCATTTCTCCAGATAGTGAGGTGGAGGTTTTATAGTTCATTCAAACAGTTCAAATAGTTCATCTCTTTCACTGCCACCTCAGCAAACAGTTGAATGGCATCATTTTGCTTTTGTGTACATTATAGTCTATTTACTGTACTTTATACTTAAAAATACAGTAAAATAAAGAGACTTCATTATAGAGGTATTTCATACAAATAATGTAGTAAAAATATTTCTGTGAGGATAGAAATCCATAGCAACAAAATGTTTATCTAAGCAGTTGGGTATGTTTTTTAATGGCTAGGCTTAAATCATTACACACAAAACAGATGTGCTCACCGCTGCTGTAATTTTGTTGGCACTGTGCCATGCAAAAGCTATAGCATGAAAAGAATGATGGAAAAAAAATAACACTACAATAGTCTAAATGAGAGCTAAAAGATTTATTGTAGTCCTGACAGTATTTGTTTTTCATTATCTTTTTCTTCCCTTTCACTGTTGTGTCAGTTCTGAAGAAAAATGGACTGGGTTTAACATGCTATATATTATTATAGATTATAATACAAAAGACTGATTTCTTCAAAAAGCAAGACAATTCTAAGAAATGTGTGAATAATCAAGCATATTATTATTAGGGTGATCACCTACGAATGCTGCCCTGGATATGAGAAAGTTCCTGGAGAAAAGGGTTGTCCAGCAGGTAGGCCACATGCTCGACATCTATACATACAGTAAGGTATAAAAGACTTTGATCGTTCCTTTTTTGCCGCTAACAACAAGGACAGACATACGACTATCGATTAAATTGATTGGAAATTTGGAAACTGCCACTATAACCTAGTGCCCTTGCTAGGAGATAATGCTTTATTCACTTACAATGATCTGCAGTTTTTTCTTTTTGGTTCATTCAAACACACTCCTGCTTTAGCACCTTGTGACAGTGACACCAACTGATTTCATTTTTTCGTAACTTTGCTGTTGATTGTGAGGCTGAAAGTCTATGTAATCATCTATCAATTAGACAACCCAAGAGATTTTTGAGTAAAACTTGTTAAGTACGTGTTAACTTTGAACATTTTAGGGACTGATCAAAGCATTCATGGTTCTGTATGTATAATTGTATCTCATAGAAGCAAAGAATGGGGCAAATAATTTTTCATATATACTGTAGAAGCCTAAGAGAAATTTGTTGAGGAATTTGTGGGTTTTAAGCTAAAAAAAAGTTGTTTGTAAGAGTTTGTAGCTGTTTTGTAAGATCTAAAAAAAACCAAGGAATAAGCATGAAGCTTGAGGCAAATATCTGATATTTTGCTTAATTTTGTATTTTGTAAACAGTTTCCATCTGTTTGGAGGAGTAATTTCTTGAACACTCTAAGACTGTTATCCTTCGGAAACGTATGTTCTTTATTAAAAAAAAACATACATAGACAGAAACATATCGCCCCAAAAAAGAGAATTTTTAAAGGTGATGTTAACATAGTTGGTTTGGTCTCTTTGTCCTCCAGCCCTGCCTCTTAGCAACATCTACAACACTCTGGGAGTGGTAGGAGCAACCACCACCAAGATGTACTCTGAGAGAGCCGGCCTGCAGCCTGAAATAGAAGGGCCAGGGAGCTACACCATGTTTGCCCCCAGTAATGAGGCCTGGGCAGCCCTTCCCAATGTAAGCAAACCTCTCAATATATTTACTCTTTGAGTTGGGTCCCAAAACTCTTAACCGCTGGAGTTCACATACTGTACAAATGGTTTGTGTGCAGGCTTCTTCCTGCCCCAAGAACATAGAACTATTTACTCATGTTATTTTCCCCCCATTAAATTAGCTCCTTTATTAACCAGATAAAATATGTTGTATTCACACGTTGGAATGTTTGACCAGAAATTTGTATTAACAAACATTAACGCTAAAGTGCATTGTGACTTTTTATTTGCAAAGGCCTTACTTATCATATGGAATGATGAACTAAAAATATCAAACTAGTCATAGGTATGTATTTTCTATATCCAAGCTACCTCAGCTTATCCCACCAAAGCTTATTCTAGTTTCTGTAGTGCTATGGAGATAAAGGAGCACATGACACTCCCCCAGACAGGACACTTCCCAGTGATATGCTGGCTAGGTCTGATTAGCCATTGTTATTTGTTCCTTTGTCCACAGCCCTGTAATGATCTGGCATCATGTCCAGGGTTGTGGTTGTCTCCAGCTTGCAGTGACCCTCATCAGAGTAAGGGGGCTTACTGGTGATGAATGAATATAAATAATAAGACTTACTGTGTCATGTCATTACATGTATTACTTGTGAATTCTAGGAAATTCTGGATGCCCTGGTTAGCAATGTCAACATTGAGCTGCTGAATGCTCTGCATTACCACATGGTTAACAAGCGCTTGACTTCTGAAGATCTGAAACACGGAATGGCTATCCCTTCCATGTACCAGGACTTTGACGTGCACATCCACCATTATCCCAACGGAGTGAGTATCACCTCTCAATGCATCTGCTGAGTCAGAAACAGGAGGGCCTTTTCCCTTCTCGATTGGGACAGCTGTGCTTCAGCTGTTACTCCATTTATCGGCCATCTCATTTGGAGCTGTCAAAGAAGCTGTGAATGAAAAGTAATTTAGACTGAGATGATGCAATCTAAAGCTTCCAAAAATGTATTTATTTTTCCAAAAGATTATTTATAGATGGAAAGGAGAATAATGCATCATTAACATCTGTATTCTTTGTAGATCGTGACAGTGAACTGTGCCCGTCTTGTGAAGACTGACCAACATGCTACCAATGGCATGGTACATGTGGTTGACAAGGTCATTACAGCGATCACCAATAACATTCACCAGACCATTGAGATAGACGAGACCTTGGACACTCTGCGCGTGAGTTTTCTGGCTCCCCTTTAAACCCTTTCAGAACACAAGTATTATGCCTAAACCTGCCACTGCTTGGTTTAAGGGAACCCCTGCTCAAATAGAAGAGTAAATCTGATATTCTACTGCATATTTCCCTTATGCTGCAAATCAAAATGTTTAACATTATTCAGATTAAAGAGGGATTGGCACTGTACATATATGTTCTATGCAGATGTGAAATTTGCTTCGTCAGACATAAGTCAGATTTTTCACTGTTTGCTAGACTGGAAGCAAATTGTTTTTGGCACAGAACTACATTTTTGTACAGTCAGTTAATATAACACATTCTTGTATGCTTATCGCTTTTAACTTTAGCACCTCTGTGCATGAAGTTTGAAAAAAAAAACTGAAAAGGATTTTCATAAAGTACTTAAAACATTTCCAGTGGAAATTTTTCACAGTACTTCTTCATACAAATTTCAGACACGCTTATGTTAAATTCAAAGTATAAATGATTCTGGATAGCTATCTTGGATAAGGCACAGTACAATTATGGGCGGTTGCAGCACTATATCATTTTGTATAATTCTAGTTTGTTTATGTAAATTTGTGAAATCCTAATGTAAGGCGTCACTTTGTGTTCCCTTTTGTGTGTCAGACTGCTGTGGCTGCAGCAGGGCTAACAACTCTTCTGGAAAAAGATGGTCATTTCACTGTGTTTGCTCCAACCAATGAAGCCTTTGAGAAAATCCCTCCCGAGACACTGAACAGGATTCTGGGAGACCCGGTGGCCCTGAAAGGTAAGGGCACCATAGTTGAAGGAAGTGTTCAATAAGCAATACGTTTATGTGCTGTGGTAGACGTGATCTCTTTTCAAATTGTGAAACAAATAGTAAAAACGGCTTCATGAAAACTTACTGCATACTGAATGCTTGCCAGATATTTCACATCTGATTTATTCATGGTTAAATAAACAGTAATAGATGAAAAGATGAGGGGAATTAAGCAGCAAGGCAATTATTACTTGGTATTTTATTTATCCTAAAGTTAATGCAAGGATTCCCCCGATTTTCTTTTATTTGTTACAGACTTGTTGAACTATCACATTCTGAACTCCATTCAGTGCTCTGAGGCTATCATGGCGGGCACTCCCATGGAAACACTGCAGGGCACGGTCTTGGAGGTTGGCTGTGAAGGGGGAGAGATGACTCTCAATGGCAAGGCCATCATCTCCAGCAAGGATCACCTGGGAACCAATGGAGTCATTCACTACATCGATGAGCTTCTCATCCCCGACTCTGGTACACAACACAACAACTTCATTTAACACACATGCCATATAACCTATAATAAAACAGTGCTGTTCTTGTTATTTTCGGCCCTTTGAAGAAAGCACTTTCAGACATATTTTGTTTCTTTTGTTTTGTTTAAGCCTAGGGTTTATGAAACAGAATACCTCTAGAATACCTCTTTCAGGTCAAGTTGAAAGTTGAAAGTTGAAGTTGAAAACAGCACATATTTTGAGGTGTCCTATCCCAATGTTGAGTTCTAGTGCCTTTTTTTAAACCATTTCCTCACAACCAAAATCCATTAATGAAAGCATATTTTTATCAGTGTCAGAAATGTGATGAAGTCAGTGATTTTTTTCTTTACTTTTTTAACTGGACACAAGTTTTATCTTCAAACATGAAATATAAGAGCATGTGCTGAACGGTGGTATAAAAAACTGAATTATGGTGTGATCATTAATAGTAACATTCTAGTAAGATTGTGTGGATTAATATTTTTCATTTTGTATTATGTTTCTAATTAGCTAAGACCCTGTTTGAGTTGGCCCAGGGTTCCACTGTTACCACGGCGATTAGGCTTTTTGCTGATGCTGGACTGAACTCTTATCTCACTGGGAGTGATGCCTTTACCCTGATAGCTCCTCAGAATGATGCCTTCCCAGGTGAGGACAGGTCCTTTATATGATTGTGTCATAGTG